TTCCGTCAAATCTGTCCACGTATATAAATAATCTTATATTAAGATATCCTATATACATTTCGTCCAAATTTATTCGCCGTTTAAGCGTAGTTGATTACCCAACCATCTTTATAAACTATTTTATTACATTAGCAGAATTATTGATATTACATAACGCCATGCATACCCTTATAGTTTTACTCTAGAAAATGGTTAACATTTGACTATAATATGTTTATCTATAGACAGATGTCCATAGTTCACATATTCAATATATTTTCCTAATCACCATCATTGCCATTCCAAATGTTTCTCTTTAGGCGGAGAAAATTTAAAGAAAGTAATAACATACATGTAAAACAAGAGCTAGAATATAGGTTAGAATAAATAAGATACGTTTAGAATAAAGTACTCCGTTGGTTTACGCGTTAAAAGAACCAATGTATATACGAAGTTGTTCGCGAACATAGTCGAACAACGAAAGGATGCTCGGGAAATGCTCTTCAACATTAGCCAAAAATTATACCTTCCATCGAAGAATGAACATTTGCTTGCCCAACCAACAAGCAGACAACTTAAAGTAAAGCCAGACCAATCTGGCTTTACTTTAAGTTGTCTGTAAAGAAACATTGCTGTAGAGTTAAAACTTAGCACTTTTAGTAAATCTAAACATATGATGTGTGAAAATCCGTTTATTCGATATTTTATTTCGAGGAAAGAAGGTGTTAATTGATGTCATCGACAATACTATTAATCGCATTAGCCATTTATTATCCACTGTTAAATATAGACCTCCCCTTTGGGAGGTACTGCCAGTTGTTGCCACGCTTGGCATGCAAAGTGGCAACCGCAGTTAAGCTTTGGGGATGTTTTAAAAAGGACGCTGCTGTCCATATCTAGATCAATAAATTTCCTTAGTCGCCTTTTACGATATCTACAGGGGAAGGCAATAGTACAATAGTATTTCTTTTTGAAAAAGCAATAAAGAGCATCTATCTATTCTCTATATTTACTTTCATGAAGTTAATTAACATTAGAACAGAATTAACTTGTATACTAACGGCGGTGCGATGACAAGTGACGACATTATCTCAAGCTTACATTATCACGTTGGAACAGGTATGCTAATCATGCGGAAAAATTCGGCATCTGTCGTATCACTATCATTCTTGTGCGAAATCGCGGTCTCGCGTGGTGGGGGACAGGTGGGGATTACTGAGCCGCAGATAATGTGATAGACTACAATAAGCATTAAATTCATACTTGCCTCGTATCTTTGTAAACATTTTTTTTTATACAACTTAGAATGGCAAACAAGCTAACGGCCCACCTGATGGAAAGCGGAAACCGTCGCCCATAGACATGAGCAGTATGGATATAACAAAGTATACTATTTCGCTCATGATACCCCCCATACGTTGCCATTCCTGAGGACTCAGGTGTTATTTCTCCGTACCCAGTAAATTCACGCCATATCCCACCCTTCAAACTGAAACACAGCCATGCAAACACAACTGCTTTACGGTTGAAACACGAGAAACACAAATTTGACAAGACTTTGGTGATGTTTTAAGAGGGATGTCGTTGCGCATCCCCAAAACCTTTAATTCTCTTAATCGCCTGTTACTACATCCAGGGGAATAGAAGGGGTGGTATATGGCAGTGGAATTACAGAGCCTATAGGCATAGTCCATAATCCTTAAGAATGGAAACGCAATAGGGGTACCATGAGCATTATGTACAGCGATGTCCATAGTGCTTACTATTCATGTCTATAAGCGACTGTTATCTGCCTACCTAACTTGACGCCGCCTACTTCGTCGTCTACTTGTTCTACTATTATAGTAAAAACACCTAATAATTGTATTTTTTTTTAAGATAATTAAGTGCATTTGCTATTACTTATTTATTGCCTTTCGATATATTCTCCAGCCATAGATAGGTGCTTTTTCTATTTTCCAATTTTGTGTAGTAAATTACAATGATCAATTTAATTTAAAGATTATCTTTATTCTGTTCATATTTTTATATTGTAGGTTTTTTTTTAATGGATGATAATGGAATGGTAACCCCAACCGCGCTATCGGTATACACCGGCGGGGCACCAGTGAAGGATGATAGGTGAGGATGAAGTAGGTCAGTCAGCCCATCGTGATGAATTCAACAAAAATTGTTTACGATGGTTTCCAGGGGGAACCACGTGGAGGTCGACCTAATAAGGCATATTGCTAGCAATGGGGCTGCCAAACTCCATTGCTAACAATCCCTTTCCCCCCTATATTGTAGGTTATACTCCAAACAGTTTTATTAAATAATTAGATACTCGTAACAAGTATTATGTGATAAGGAATAATTAAACGAGCAGGTAACACAAGTATCTAAGAGAATAATCACGGTGCGCTGATAAGATGTCTATAAAATACACAATTAACGTAAAACCCAATTACACATTACTCAGCAAATGGAAAAATTAATATAGTTATTTCCATTATGTGAAACCCGGCCAGCTGTATAGTTTTACAATCGTAATAGTGTTTTTTTAATGGGTGATAATGTAATGGTAAAATCCCGCCCGCGCTATCGGTATACACCGGCGGGGCACCAGTGAAGGATGATAGGTGACAATGAAGCAGGTCAGTTAGCTTATCGTGACGAATTCAGCAAGAATTGTTCACGATGGTTTCCAGGGGGAAACACGTGGAGGTCGACCTAATAAGGGATATTGCTAGCAATGGGGCTGTCAAACTCCATTGCTAACAATCCCTTTCCCCCATCGTGATATTGTTTGATCGGAACTCCTTCTCCATCTTAAATACCATATGTATATATGCCATATTTCATGGCGACTGATGGTAGTAACTGTTGAAGTAGGTTCCTTATGTTCATATTAGTTTATGGAGCCCACATGATGCTAGGATACATTTTGATTATGTTACTCTCTCTCTCTCTAATGTTAAATAAAATATAGTATGTTTGTTCCGAGTAATTTAAATAAATAATTTGCTGCTTTTAGTTATTACGCTGTATAGATCCTTTCCCCTTGTCATTAGTAATTAAAAAACTATTCCAATAAGGGGGAAGTAATGGGTTCTAATAGCCCCATTGCTAGCAATATATCCTATAAGGTCGACCTCTTCGCGGTTTCTCCTGGAAACCGTCGTGGTTAATTCTTGTTGAATTCTTCACGATAAGCCAACTGACCTGCTATTATCCTTACCAATTATCTATCACTGGTGCCCCGCCAGCATATACGGATAGCGCAGGCGGGGTTAACATTCCATTTTCAACCATTAAAAACTATACATATACGTTTTTACTCATGTACAAATAAAACTCAATTGCCGAATGCATGCACGAGTATGTAACCGCATCACTTCTGAACGTTGCAGGCGTTCTCTTTGGTTAATTACTTTTTGTTGTGCTTGTAATTGTCAGAACGAAATTTGTATAAATATAAAAATGGAAGATTTAGACTCTATTTCTTCATTAAAAAAGGTACCTGTGCGTAGCCGGGGTGGACAACTAGTTTACAATATTAAGAAGTAATTATTTTTTCATCTGATCAGTTTGCGCGTATCTATCATGCTAGTCTAAATTCTGGGGTCAGAAAAGTGAACTGATTTCGGAAAACCCGTTATCTTACTTTATTCATCTTTATAACTCGTCTTCTCATGCATGCACGTCTGCTGGAGGTTCACGTTCAAAATATCATGCCAGGTGCATCATAATTGGTCGGTCAAGTTGACAGGGGCTTGGATTTCTACAATTTGCATTATATCTGTCGGTATTTGTTTTGTCATCTTTGCATCAAATATTCTTTCGATAAGCCCGATTAATAGGAACACGTTTCACATTTTAAGAGATTTTAAATAGGTGAAGGTTTTGTATTTGACTATTTTTGCAGTGGCATAGCTACCAAAGGGCTAGACGGGGTAGTACCCTGGGGTTCCCAAGCTCAGGGAGTTCCTCCAATTCTGACTTACAAACTATAAATTGAACTAGTAAAAACTTTTTTCACATTCGGAATATAAATAAACCAGATTTCAGGAACGCGACTTTAATAATTGCAAATTATTTGAAAAAATACAGGGGAATTCCCAACAGTCTGGAACATCTTTGTTTCAAACTTGCGAGGAACCTCCTTGCATTCTTAGGCTGGTTTATTTTTTGCCCTAGGACCTTTAGTTACCTAGCTACACCACCGCTTTTTTGTTTGTTTGTATATTACGCGATATGTTCGCCAATTCGATCGATGTTGACGATACTTTTTACAATCAGTAGGTTTGATACGCGTTGGTTCTATATTAATTTTGTCACAATTGAAAGTGCTGTTTTTTTGCAACATAATCTCAAATTATTACTCCGATAGTATATTTTATTGTGTATAAACAAAAAAATATGCATGAAAAACAAAATGTTATCATGTCCGTCAAAGGTCGCACCTGGGAGGTTTGTTTTTGATAACATGAGAGCGGAAAATATATCAAGTCACCACTACGAGTTATACCTACATGTTAGGGGTGACCTTTACATGGAAACATACTTTAAAATGAATAAGACCAAATTTTTTATTCTTTTTAAATAGAATCTTCTAGGGCTGCGTTTCAAATGTCAAACATAATTTGGGGGGTTAGAATTAAAGGGTGAGAACAAATTATTCGCACTTATGGTTATATAAATCGATATTGAATTAATTAACTTGGGTTTGTTGCGTAGAGCACCTACAATCGGACGTCTGAAGATAGGACTATCACAGCTTAGTGCACGATAAGTTTACTTGTCGATATATAATATGTATATAATTAACAAGCGTACGTGTACTTACCATTACGGCTAATATTATGTTTAATAATTGTTACATAATAACTGATATATAAAATACGGAATATGTTGTAAAAAACAAATACTCCAATGATAACAAAATATTGATGAACGTGTCTAAGAATCTAAGAATAAATAAATAAAATATTTATTTATTTCTTTAAGAAATTGTTAGTAATTAAACATTAATTTTGTTGCAGATTGAGTGTGTATCGAGTGGGCCATGTCTACGGCAGTGGACAGCGCGCTCGGGAGGGTGGGGCTCGGCCGGTCACCAGACGCCCCGCTCAACGGGCACGCGGCGCCCGACCACGAAAATGGAAACTGGGACGAGCAGTTCCTGCCGCCGCCGCTACGGATCGACGACTACAACAGAGCACAGAAAGTATGTTAGCAGGATAGGATTTGATCGAATTAATTCTGTAATGGTAGTTTCGTGCCTGTAGGCGATGGTTACTATTTCCTTTTCTAAGTATCATAAGAAATAATTGCATTCATAGCTTTAAGAAAGTGCTAAACTGTTGTTAGAGGAGATTTTATACTTCAATATAGGGACAAATAATCACATAATTGTCTGCTCGTCAAATTTGATTACTTCTTATTAAATATTACTCCGAATTGTAGAAAACCAGTCAATGAATATTTTAAAATATATAATCTTCAGTTTATTGTTATTTCAGAATATATTGTTAATATCTTTACTCGTTTAATGATATTTAATAATTTAATTTCATTGTAATGTTTCTTAAACATAAAGCATGCTGCGGTTGCCTCTAAATGTAAGGACAGTCAGACCTAATCCACTAGTGTATTGTATTGAAATGCTTCGTTGTATCTTATGTTGGTGATCCTATAAATAAATAAATATCATTGCCTAATAAACCAATTAGCGGATGGGACCTAGTCATTATACCACGAAGATTGTCATGATGTTGTTGTTAGTGTTAGTTGTATCAAGTTGGCCATCAGCTTAATACTCTTTTCTATTATTATAAGGAACAAACTGTTACAAGTGACTCAAATACTGTTCAAAGATCACAAACAGCATTGTCTACGACTCATTTGAGAGTTAATTAAAGTCATCAGCGCAATCAATTCGCATTTGGAGCTTAATTGTTATGGATTGCGGTCTGGCTGACGCGCCGTCTGTAGACGCAATACAGAATTAAGTCAGACGTAAAACCAGGCATGAAAAAGAGGAACGAAATGAAACAGGCTATCTGTTCTTTCACTTGTACATATGGAAGAAAACGTTGTATTTACATTTTAGTATAGATCATTGTTGAATGCTATTTATTATTTTATATGAGTCTCTTACTTCTGTAATGCATCAATTCGGGCAAAAATAATGATTGCCACTTTTTTAAAAATGAACCACAAACGACTTGTCCGTTCTTCATTTTGCTATCTTACTCCATAAAATTAAGTTTGGATGGAAACTAAAAAACTATTATTATTTGATATTTTTCGACCCACACTTCACCATATGCCTATTTACCAGAGGTATCAGGTGGAACGGTGCGAGCGGAGCTTTCGCCTTTTGGCTTTTAAGGGACTTCTTGGAAATTACTTTTAATATGTCAATGGTGGAATAATCTTTGAAACGGATGCTATTGATTAAGAGTTCGAGATTTTAGACGATGATAACGATAAATCTGTTTGACACCAATGTACAGACGAAGCGAGTGATATTAAAAGTTCTGTCGGTGTCGTGTTGCAGATCGAGTCCCGCCTGTCGGGGCTGGTTCTGTCGGGCGCGACGCTGAGCCGCGTGTCCGACGTGTTCGAGCGCGAGCTGGAGCGCGGCCTCAAGGAGGAATCCTCCAGCCTGCAGATGGAGAATACTTACGTACCTGAATTACCCAACGGCACAGGTAATTATGTATTATTTATCTTTATCATTTTTCATACTTTGTTACCGCGTGTGCACCTATACTGGAGAATTAAAAAGCCTATTTGAAATGGATCATAATAGGATTTATATATATATATATATATATATATATATATATATATATATATATATATATATATATATATATATATATATATATATATATATATATATATATATATATATATATATATATATATATATATGGACAAATCACACAGATTGAGCTAGCCCCAAAGTAAGTTCGAGACTTGTGTTATGGGATACTAATTCAACGATATTTACTAGGCATAATTCGCAGAGTTTACATCATGAAAGGTGGTCCTTTTAAATCCACTGAATTCAGTGTTTGCTTGTATCTACTTACTGTTATTTAAGTATCATAATATATTTATAGCAGGAGGTGAGCCTACCGCTATTGGATTCATTTGGTTTATTGACGGTTTTTCTGTTACCGAGGAAGCCTAGTTTGTCGTAAGCGTAGTGGAAGATACAGAAAGAGATGGATTGTGTCAAAGATGCATGCATGTGAATAGAGATTAATGGAATACATAAATAGATTATGTAGACAGACAAACAGACGTCTGCCTGTCCATATAAGCTATTTTCAAGAGACAACTGATATAACTCCAAATAGATATGGGGAGAGAGCAGTAAGGTAATAATGAATAAATTTGACTTTGTGTAGAGCTCCTTATTTGAGTTTTTGACGGCTTCTATTTCAGAGGAGGGCCTGTTCCTGGCACTAGACCTGGGTGGCACCAATTTTCGCGTGCTGCTGCTGGAGCTACGGGCAGGGCAGCTGGTGCGGGAGGACGTCAAGCATTACCACATTAAGTAATTGTTTTATTTAACAACATTCAATGATATTATTAACCCTTGTTGTACTTTACAGTGCTGTAAAGATATAACAAATCTATCAATAATTCTGTTTTGTTGTTGGTTTAGTGTAATTATATTTTTATTCAATTATTTATTTATTTATTTAACTCTTTATTGCACCATAAATAAAAATATACAATGACAAGTGAATAATTATGTTGTGTATCCATAGGAAGACTTTTTACAAAAGCTTTTTTTTTATACCACTGAGGTGGCAAACAAGCATACGGCCCACCTGATAGTAAGTGGTCACCGTAGCCTATGAACACCTGCAATACCAGAGGTATTACGCGTGCATTGCCGACCCTGAAGAAACCTCATTACCCCCCTTTTGAAGAACCCCATGCTGTAGTCTCTTGGGAAAACTATTGTATTTCTGTTACATTTATACTCTTACCGAACATTTTTTAATTTTGATGGTGTTCAGCTTGTAAAGAATGAAAGTTATATAAAAAAATCATATAATTCTTTCTAAATTAAAGATTATGATTTACCTATTCTTTTTTTATAATATTAATTACAGCCAAGCGTTACGGTTAGGACCTGGGGAGGACTTATTCAACTTTCTGGCGGATTGCGTACAAGATTTCGTTCGTTCGGAGGGAATGGACAAGGAGTCTTTATCGCTAGGTATGTTCCTGTGTAACATTGCTAAGAAATGTGTATAATACAAGGGTATGAAAGGTTCTCGAGGGCAATTCGGTGCAAGCTAGCTCGGAAATCCTCAAAGAGATGAAGTGACTAAAATAAGTCTATAGGCTTTGGTTACCACTACCTATCTGATAGATAGCGTGCTTAGGTACTACTCAAAATTGTATTATAATGAATGAAAAATAACTTTTGCTCGAATACAGGCAACGAACGAAAACAGAGTCTGTGTACATCCGTGTGGCGGGCAAATATTTAATTTGGTCATTAAAATTTTACATTACAATTATTTTTAAGTAAGTAAAAACATTTCTCAGTAAGCCATTGTAAAATTTCTCATTTAATTCTTTGTCTGTCAGATTTCTGTATTCTGTCTGTAATTTATTATATATTTTAAAGAATTATATAATTAGAAGAATGGCTTGTATAAGAAATTTTATGTCATAAAGTTACATTAGGTGGTAGAGGTTTATTTAGAAATACTGCTTAGTAGACTCATTATTTAGTGTTTCTTTCCTTAATTGTTTCCAATATCATGTGCAGGTTTCACATTTTCATTCCCCATGAGGCAGCATTCGATCTCATCGGGCGAGCTGATCACCTGGACGAAGAGTTTCAAGTGCAGCGGCATGAACGGCGTGGACGTGGCGGGGCTACTGCAGCAGTGTCTCCACGCGCGAGGCCTCGACATCACCGTGAGGGTGCTGCTGAATGATACCACGGGTACCTTGATGGCTGGAGCTCAGATCGACCCTAACGTTGGGGTGAGTATCTGTGAAGAGATCTGGATCTAATACATGTTGCTTAGGTATTTTTATTTGCTAATCTATAATAGTAAACCGCTGAGTCTAAATATATTAAACTTCACAAGGAGATTGAATACAAAGAATGTATTTCTTGCAATTGCTACGGAAACAGGTGACAAAAGAGTTAATTACAGAAAATTATGCAAGGTCCTTTTTTGCTTCTTCTTCTTGTTTTCTATTGTTGAATATCATTTTAAAAGGTGGGATAATCATCATCATATGATCCTTTAACTGTCCAGTGCTGAACATAAGCCTCCTCTTTGGGGGGCTTTTGCCAGTAGTTACCACACTTAGTAGACGGATTTGCAACCGCAGTTAGGCTTTGAAGATGTTTTAAGAGGAACGCTGCTGCCCACACCTCGCCCTCCCTTAGTTGCCTCTTACGATACTCACGGGTAAGGAAGGGGTGGCTTATTCATTATCGGGACCACACGTCCAAAGAGTTTTTTTTTAATGGGCGATAATGTAATGGTAACCCCGCCTGCGCTATCGGTATACGCTGGCGGAGCACCAGCGAGGAATGATAGATGACGATGAAAGCAGGTTAGTTAGCCCATCGTGCCGAATTCCACTAGAATTAACCACGATGGTTTCCAGGAGAACCTGGTGGAAGTTGACCTGATAGGGTGTATTGCTGGCAATGGGTCTGTTAGACCCCATCACTAATGGAGACTGAGAATCCCATTGCTAGCAATGTACCCGGCCAGGTCGACCTCCTCGCGATTTCCCCTGGAAACTATCATGGTTGATTCCTAAAGAATTCATCATGATGGGCTAACGGGCCTGTTTTCATTCTCATCTATCACCCTTCATTGGTGCTCTGCCAGCGTATCCCGTTAGTGCAGGCGGGGTTACCATACCACTTCCATCCATAAAAAAAAATCCCTTTCCCCAAACGACCAAAGAGTAGGATACAGCAGTAGATTATTATGTAAGCACAAAGCTTTACACCTAACTCCTTAGGAGTAACGACACATACGTCACACAGAGTGCATTCTATGTGATCCATGTTACTATTCATGTTTGTAAGCGACACGGTTACTGTATGTAATTCATTAGGGTAGACCACCAAATAATTTGTTTCTCCATGTCGTATAAAGAAAATGTGTGTTAGATCGGCGTGATCCTGGGCACGGGTTCGAACGGGTGCTACATGGAGCGCGCGTCGCGCGTGCAGCACTGGGAGGCGGCGCACGCGCGCGTGCACGACGTGTGCGTGGACGTCGAGTGGGGCGCCTTCGGGGACAACGGCTGCCTCGACTTCATACGCACCGACATCGATCGTGAGGTCGACCAACATTCCCTGCTCGCCGCCTCCTTCACGTACGTCACCTTTCTCTCTCTCTTTTAATCTGACAAAATAGAAGAGTAATGTTTTTTTGGTGTATATAGATTTGGACCTTTTATGTGACCTAAAACGTTTTTTGTTTTGATTTTTATAAATGGGGAATTATTAAATAATATATATAGACTATACGTAAATTAAAAAAATGATGACTATCAAAATTTCATTTGCTTTCTATACCGAGATGTTTCCATGAGCCTAGACTCTAGGCCCTAGAGTATGTTAAGTTAATAAGTAATCTGCAAAATAACTATGAAAACAACATTGACAACAAGACAACGTTGTCTATAGTAACTGCATACCATTAAATGGATCATATACTACAAGAAACGGGCCTGTTATACATTTACTTATGTTTGTTTAACTTGGTTTCTTGATGTCACCGTTCCATTAGGGATTGATCAAAACTGTGCTCGCCTGGACTAACACCAGCATTGTTTTAAGTATTAAAAAGTTATTTTGATAGGTTAATATTTATAGGAACTATCTGCTATCCAGTTCTGTAATATAAGTCAGTGTTGCCTGTATGTGCAGTTTCGAAAAGTACATCGGCGGCAAGTACCTGGGTGAGGTGCTGCGGTGCTCGCTGGCGGCGCTCGGCCGCGTGGGGCTGTTCCCCGCCGTGCCGCCGCCGGGCTCCTTACTCACCGAGCATCTCAGCCTTTTTGAAGAGTTAGTACTACTTACTTGTTTGTGTATCTACTTCACAAAATAAGGAGGGGGGAAAGGGATTGTTAGCAATGAAGTTTGACAGCCCCATTGCTAGCAATATGTCCTATTAGGTCGACCTCCACGTGGTTCTTTTTGGATATCATCGTGAACAATTCTTGTTGAATTCGTCGCGATGGGCTAACTGACCTGCTTCATCCTCACCTATCATCCTTCACTGGTGCCCCGCCGGTGTATACCGATAGCGCGACTGGGATTACCACCCATTAAAAAAAATAAGGAAAACAATATCTTCATGGTGCAATGATGAGCATGTTGGTTATGTGGCCCCAGGTTTGATTCCCAGTTTTTGCGTTAGCTTTGGTCTGGATGTACTGGGTTGTGCTTCTAAATGTTCATTGCCTGATTTCTCATAACACAGAGTATCCTTAGATGAGGACCAGGTGAGACTATTACTTATATATATAGTATTGTTTAAAATTTAGGTTATTAATAGCTTAGGTGAAACAATATATAAGTGAACAAAACTATACCTAACAGTGAATTCGCCTGTGTTAAAGTGATGAAACTGTCATGTGTGTTAATGTGATGGTATATGAAGACCTGCCCTTCTGTCTAATAATTATTAAAATTCTAAGTATTTTGTATGTACCTTTATACATAGTAAACAAATCTATGTGGACTTTACCAGATATGAGTCATGAGATGATTATTTTTTCTGACCTATTTAAAACTTTAAACAATGGTTGCAACGCTCCATCAGGTAGATCGCAACTAGTTTGCCATTACAAGACGTAGAAAATCTTTAAATGTAGTACAAACCTTCTGTGGAATTCAACGCCGCATGTATTTTATTTGTCCGCAGAGAGAACTGCTCGGGCGGCTGGTCGCGCACCTTGTTCGTGCTGCAGCAGGCGTGCGGAGAGGAGGCACGGCTGGGTCCGGAGGAGGCCCTTATCACGCAACATGTCGCCCAGCTAATTTCTAACCGCGCCGCGCAGCTTGCCTCCGTCTGTGAGTTCCCTGCCCACCCACTACATTCACACGTCGTCTATACAGTAACCATATTTCTTAGCTATGGTTAATCATGAACTTCGTTTAGTAACAGAAGTCAGAACTTCTTTTCTTTCCCAAGATGTCGTTCCTGTTTTCACCAAAACACTTACAAGCTACGAATCATGTTATATTTATTTGCGACTGCTGTTTTTTTTTAATGGATGATAATGGAATGGTAGCCCCGCCTGCGCTAACGGCATATGCTGGCGGATCACCAGTGAGAGATGATAGGTGAGAATAAAAAGGCAGATCAGTTAGCCTGTCGTGATGAATACATTTGCGCGATGGTTTCCAGGGGGGACCACAGGGAGGTCAACCTTTTAGGGTATATTGTTAGCAATGGGAGTGGTAATCCGCATTACTAATAATCCCTTCCCCCTCTTTTAACTGATGTATATGTGACTAATGTTAACATATTTTATTGACGTATAGGTATAGCGGCGTTGATCCGGCGCATGGACCGGCCGCTGACCGGCGTGGCGGTGGACGGCTCCGTGTACAAATGCCACCCGCGCATCAGCACGCTCATGAACAAGTACATCGCACTGCTCGCGCCCAACCACAAGGTCGGTCTGCTCTACTTGTACAAGTAGTTTAAATTTGACTTGGAATGACAAACAGACTGACAGTCACACATGACAACAACTACGTATCTTACTATAGAAATGAAGAGCACCATGGACTTTTTAGAATACGCTGACATCCATGGTACTCTCATCACAGAAGATTAAGGTATAAAGCTACCAAGCCATGCCAGTATACCATTAATTCTTGACAACAGAAATGGTATCTATGTACAGGACTTTGGATATGTAAAATTTCTCATCGATTTGATCCTCCGATTAAAAAAAAACGATTCGAAAATTGAGGTATAACTCACACCACTCAAACCTTAGATAATTTAGATAAGAGCCCAGCAACTCGTTGCTGCATGGAGGTCGTCAATAGGTAAAGTGGTTCCTTTGTTAGTTGTTTAATGTTTGAATTGTATAATGACATTGTATTTATTGTGTCCAGTTCACACTGATGGGAGCAGAAGACGGCAGCGGCAAGGGATCGGCGTTAACAGCGGCCATTGCCGCGCGTGTGGCCGCCAATAACCCCTCGTAGCGGCTCCCATCATTCACCACACGCTGACACCCACCGCCGACACCACGCTGGCGATCATCAGCAGTTAAAATATGGTTGAATCAACCGTCTTTATAAACTGTAGTTATGCCTTTTATGATGTAATATATAGCTTATATTTTATATATAGAACAGAACTGAGGTGCTCCACTAAATGTACGATCGACTAGCGGTAATGATATTATTTTTGTAAACAATAAAAATATTTTTTCTAGAATTGTATAAAATTAATCAATTATATATGTCAATATAACCATGAATATAACAAAAAAATACTACGCAAGTAGGATTATTTTCTGTTCAAGTTCTCGTAATAAGATTAGAGTGACAATGTTTCCATTATTTGAGCAAGCAACGTAACGTCAGAGGAACATGATAATATAATGTAATGTCCACTCAGTTCTATGTAAGTATAGAATACTTGTTAAAAACTCGCTGAGATATTATTATAATAAGTTCGAGCCGCTCATAATTCAACGTGATATGTTTTGTATGCAAGTGAGAACGTGTAGATATAATTGTTAATTAGTTTAGGGTAATCAAATTAATTAAAATATTTGTTAAAACTTTTATATACATAATTTTTATAATATTAATATAATTAGAGCCCGCTTGTACCAATTACGTGGTGTATTGATATTTTATATTAATGCAGAATATATGTTTACCTACATTGAATATTTTTTGCCATATCGTATCATTCTGTCGTTGTGAATCGATCATTTTACGCACAAAAGTTTCCATTGGTGATTGCATTATATTTGTGAGTTTTCTTGTATCTGTCCGATAATTTTGCGATATGGTCATATCTCCGTAACTCGCGGGTCGAGTGCCAAATAACTTTGAATAACTTGATCATGATTACAGCAAGTAATCATAGATTATTACAAGTATGCCACTTTATACTTGATGTTACTGTTCTCCTTTAGTTATTTAATTAATTATATAAATATATATTTATGTGATAATAATAATTTTTAGAGTGAAGATTTTGTTACTACAGTAGCGCAGGGTCATATCAGGGGGTTACATCAGGGTAACGCAAGCAGACATGAATAATGTCTACTGTAAGGTCAGACTAGTAACCTCGCATCTTTTTCTATTAGACTATCGTTGACCTTAGTATAATATATACATATTATAGTGCCATAATTTATTTTTGTTTTTTTAACACTTGAGAAATATTTTGCCTGTTTCTTGTTCCATACATTCTATTTATGATATTATATTTATGAGAGATTATTTTTGCATTCTTTCTAGCGTTCTGTTATTCGAATCTAATTATGTTTTTATTATCGGTTTCGTTAAATTTTAGTAATAATTAAATATTATAAAAGACTTTGATGTTATACGAAAATGTGTGTGTATGGATATGCGAGTACATGGTATTAGTGTAAAATATTTACAAATAATACAATGGAATTGACCAGTGAATGTTATCAACAGATATGATCAAAGTGTTGCCGATACGCTGAGCCTCAGATAACGTAATGCTGTGAGCTAAGCGTAGGGTAACACTTAGGAACAATTTTACTAAACAAACTGTACTGTCGGAATCGTGCAATAGTTTTGTTTAGACGTAGTATATTTTATAGTTTGTAAGATATTCATATCAGGAACCGACATATATATATATATATATATATATATATATATATATATATATATATATATATATATATATATATATATATATATATATATATATTTTGCCTTATATATATATATATATATATATATAAGGCAAAATTTCTTTACTATTTTTCGACCCAATATTTTTTCGCGATAAGAATTTAGTTTTCATCCACCATGTATTATGAATCCGTGATATAAGATTACACCCCGTATTCGTCTGCGAGTTTTATTGTGATCTTGCCAAGTATCGTCCAAGTTGTTTTAGTATATACATTATATATGAAAACATTACAAATGACAGACAGACTGACTTTCTGCATTTATTATGTCATTTTAATAGGAACGATTAAACAGAGGCATTAATGGTGATAGTGAACGCAATGTAGCAATATTAATGTATCTAAAATGAATAATTTGATAATATTATAAAACAAATTAGCCCTCTTTGAATTGTAATTTAGCCGAACACCAATGAAACTCTTTCTACTAAAATTAATAAACAAAGTACGTATAGTTACTGCGCCTGTTATAGTTACATGTATGTTACATGTATATTTTTTATATTATATATTACATGTATATGTATAGTTACATGTCTAATATGTACTCGTTTTTAGGAATATACTCGTAAAACACTACACTACACTGGTTTTAGTACTACTAAAGAATTAGTTTTAGTAGGTATTGTAAATTGCACCATCTAAGTGCCTAATATCTATGTAGGTAGCCCCTAAATTTACAATTTATTTTATTTTATTTTATTGACACATAAACAAATAACAAGAAATAGATCATAACCATAAAAAAAAACTGAAATAGCAGTTACATTTGTGTTTCGGCTAGGTTATAATCCAATCACATTATGTGCACAACTTGAGTAATCATGTAAAACAAACACATAAAATAAAGAAGATACATAAAATATTATATAAATATATAAAAGATAAAACTATATAAAAAAAAATCATATGTTCAATCATATTTTACAAAATAGAGAACAAGTTTTTTCTAAAGAGTAAATATTTAGTACCGAATACGGCGATGGGTTTGATGACTATTCCGTATATTACTGTTAAGAGCATTAATGCCGAATCGTACAGAACATCGCAGCTATGTGTCAATTTTAAAAAAAAAAATTACTATGTACATAATTGCCACTTTATAGAGATTAAACATCAGGTGGGCCGTATGCTTGTTTGCCATCTCTGTGGTATAAAAAAAATTGACTAAAGTATAGCACTTTTTGAATAATAATTGAAAATAATTCAGCTGTTTATGAAAATTGACAGTTACTTGCGACGTTGCTACACTTCATTACCATATTCTGAGTGTAATATAAATTGATGACATTACGATCAACTTAGTTTTACAGAAGGCGAATTTTATTGTTAAAGTTATAAATGTAATAAAAAAACAGCTTTATTTATCAGTTTATTTTTACCTAATATAATTGTTATGCATTTTTAAAAAATATGTTAATTAAATTATATTTTTTTTGGATAACGGCTTTTATTGACTGTGTGCTCGTTTCGTTTAATATTATAAAAGTTAGAGTAAAATAAAAGAGTTTTTTGTTAGTATTCTCACCAGAAAAATGGACTAATCTTTCTCTGCCTATATCAATTAGTGGCAACTCGCCTGAGAGCCACTGGTATGTGAATATATACAATATTATAACGATGCATTGTGTTCTTAACTCACAGCATCACTGTTACACCACTTCTTAAACAAGGAATACAAAATGATAGCAAGCCGCTGCCAGAATTTTTTTTAATGGATGATAATGGTATGGTAACCCTACTCGCGCTATCGTTATACATCAGCGAGGAACCAGTAAAGGTTGACAGGTGAGGATGAAGCAGGTCAGTTAACGTGACGAATTCAACAAGAATTGTTCACGATGGTTTCCAGGGGGAACCACGTGGAGGTCGACTTAATAGGGCATATTGCTAGCAATGGGGCTGTCAAATTCCATTGCTAACAATCCCTTTCCCACCTGCCAGAATTATTAGGACTATGGAATTCATTGCAACTTTCTTCAGTATTAAATATGACGCAGTTTTAAAACTTCACGTCTGCAATCATTATGGGCATGTAATAAAATAAAACACACAGTTTATATAAAATAATATAATAAATACAGTATATTAGTACTTACTAAATAACACTTATTAATAATATGTCAAATTAATAAATAGTGTTTTTTCTTATTCAATCACATTAACCATATTTTGTTACATATATATTTATCATGTTTCATTCACGACCCTTAATATTATATTATATTTAAAATAAAAAATATTAACTCTATAGTTTTCAACAAGAGTTCGCGTAAAATATTTTTAAAAATGTATAGTATGACTTATTTCATCCAGTCGATAGATATTCGTATAAGAAAAGTTGAGGAGCAAACATTATTTGTTATTTAGGAACAACGGCCATTTTTGTCTTAGAACCTTTGTTCGATTTATCAAAGCTAATGATTCTAGTTATAATCTAGGTACTTCAATTTTTATTTTATATTATAATTCTGCTTAAAATTAACCATTTTATGGGTAACAATTAAAGAATAAAATTAATCTAAACATATTTACAAAGTCAATTTGGTGAAAAATATAGCATCTGTTAAAAAATATCTATAATAATTTATATAGTTCTACCGATGTTATAGAAAATAAACAAGTGTTCACCTTTCACATGAATCCGACTAGCCATCGTGGCATTAATATAATAGGAGCAGCATCGACCGTTTACAAAAACTAGCGGCTTCGACTATAATACCTCATCGGGGTTACTTTACAATGGAACAACTGACTTGAGATAATCGACATCCATTATCCCACACTGGTATCACCGCCAGCGTACACCGTAAGAAACAAAACTTGGTTGTTAATTGAGAAGTATTAGAATGTTATAAGTGTATAAATTATTAGTAGATTTAGAACTCGGCTCAGCAAGACGAGGAATTATAGTCCTTTCGGTGAACGCCGTTCACGAAACTTCTACCTTCTCGCGGACCCTCCGCAGGATACTCTGCAGCTCCGAGGACGTAGTTGTCTTGTACTGAAATAACAATAATTGGCATTTTAAAATGTAGTCGGATAACACTTGTACTAAGTAATTCGAGACTTCCTCATTGAGGTGATCAAACCTTGTAGAGCAGGTAGCTGCTTTGCGCACTAAGCAAATTATTTCAATTCCAAGAACGCGACTTCGTATTCTCGTTTTGAAATTATTTTAACTTATTCTATATAAAACTAAATATAAATTCATGGGAAATTACACTTTTATAAATTTCATCATTCTACTTCTTTCAAAATCATTCATCATTCTTCTTTCAAAATCATTATTTTTATTATTTAATTCTCCGCATAAACTTCTATGCCGAATGCTTTTGAAGTATGACGAAGAAGAATGGTTCTTGACTTCTCTGCTACTTTAATTTGGAAAAATGAACTGTTCTTAATATCGTGATTAGATTACAGAAGCTCTGAGTTGTGCTTCCAGAGTAGATATTTGGTGCGACTGTCTAGTATTTATAGGTGCGGGTGACGAGTGTGCAGTTAGGATGGACCCATCGCGAGCGACATGATCCGCACGTATCCATACACAAATAAATACGATTATCTTAAGTTGTTCTTTATGTAACAGAGAATGGAATATAAACTGATGATCCACCTGATGGAAAATGCTAACAGTTGCCATGGATAACACGAAATACGTTTTAATACCTAGTATACCCGTCATGCGTTGTCATTTCTAAGATATAAAAAAATATAGTCGGACCATGTCGCTCGCTCCGGTGTGCCGTGGGGCGTCCTCACCGTGGGTGCTAGGAGAGTGCAGGCGGTACAGTCCACTCACCCCGGACACGTTCCTCTGCACCAGGATCTGGCTGTACAAGCGCTTGCCCTCATCAGGGCCGAGCACGTCCTCCAGCTGCGCCCGACTGTATGAAAACAGCTGGTGCCCGGGGACCCGAAGCTTGCGCTGTGCCAGCGCGCTGAAGCCTTTTGCTTCCAACCAATCCGCCACTTCTGCGGGATTCGATTTCTGAGGAGATATCAGATTTAGTGTTGTATTATTGGTAGGTACTTACTTGTATTTGTAATACAGTAACTCATCATTATAGCAATTGGCGTGTGCGTGTGCGTGTGCGTTTGCGGGTGCGTGTGCGGGTGTGTGTGCGTGTGCGTGTGGGTGTGTGTGTGTGGGGGGAGGGGGCTTTTTGTGCAGTCCTGGCATAGAATGGGTACTACCCCTTCCTTTCCTGTGGGTATCATAAGAGGCGACTGAGAGAATTTAACGGTAGAGGAATGGGCAACAGTGTCCCTCTTAAAACATCACCAAAGGCTAACTGTGGTTGTTAACCTGCATGCTAAGCGGGGCAACTACTGTCAAAATCCCTCAATAGGGGGAGACCTATGCCCAGCAGTGGACAGTTAACGACTGATATGATATGGTAGCTATAGGTACATAAAATGATCGTTCCGGTACATGCCTACATATTATGTGGCATGAAAATAGATATAGATTTCTTTTTACATAAGGAATATATTTCAGTCACACGAAGTCATAAGCGTGACTTATGGTAGTTACATAAAACATCTTAATCAACAACAGGTAGATTTTGGGATCAGGGTTATCTGCTGAGGCCAATCCTACATACTGATGCTGCGGTACCCAGTTGGTGTGGTCCTAGCACTCACCTGATGAATAAAGATATCCGGTGTCTTCTTAATGAAGTCGAGCTTGTTCTTTCGCTGCTGTATCTGGGGCAACACTATTTTCAACTCGTCTTGCAATTCACTGCCCGTACTTATGATGGATTTCCTCGCTGAAATAAACAGTAGAGTAAATTATAAACCTAAATAATTTAAGTAAGTGGCTTGGCATTTTTTCCCCTTTGGTACACGCAGAAACCATAGACCGCCATGTTTTTATCCTGATATATTTCTTTATTACCTGTGACTTTGTACAGTCTTTTGCATGGATACATACCTCTGTTTTATCCGTAATTCTGAACTCTAGTAGTCCATTTCCAGTCCATTTCCATCCATTTCTGTGTCCAGTCCTTAACAATGGTGACGCATGTACTACGATGCGATGGTTGCCACTTACAATCAGGTGGGATGTCAACTTATTTGCCATTTCAATTTGTATATAATGACTTAGCTAGTAAATATCAAATTTTGGTAGCTATTAAAAATAATTATATGGCAGGTATTTACATTTCAATGTGTCACTCTTGGAAGGAGTGGGAGCGGATGTGGCGACGGGTGCCACGGGGGGCGGGGGCGGCGGCGGCGGCGGCGGTGGGGGCGACGGTCGCTTCTCTGCAAATATACAATACAACTACTTTTAAGTCAAAATTTAAAAAAAGTTTATAACCATCTTTTTAATTTTTTTAAAACTTTAAAATATTCTATAAAAGATTTTGTTCTACAAAGGCAAACTCACATAAATCGTCGCAAAACCAGTTATTTTTATCTAAAAACTAAAATACTGAACAGATTTTAATAAAATTTCTATGAGATTATTCTGAAAGTCTATACTTTCAGATAAAAAAGAATTTTTTGAATCAGTTAATAAATGACGGAGCAAACAAAAAAAATACAACCGAATGGAGAACCTCCTTCTTTGAAGTTGGTTGATAATATTTTTTAATTATATACTCGAAGTTCTACCTAGTATCAATACCATCCGAAAGTTGTTCTATATTTATTAAATAGTTACCAATAGTTTATCAAAGGGATTATTAGAACTTATGGTTGGATCAATTTAAATAAATATAGAGTGAAAAAAATTCCCAAAGAGGGTTGACGTCAGGCAGCTGGCCGGTCGTAAAACTAAAAACCAAGTCTTTTTGTAATATGGACAAAATCATATTACGCCGACCCCAAATGATTGGGATAAGGGTAAGAAGATGATGATAGAGTGAAAAAAATTAATGCATACATTATCTATTATTTTTAGGCGACTCCAAAAAGGAGGAGGTTCTAAATTCAACTGCATTTTTTTGTGTCTATGTTACGCGATACGTCGCCAATTATAAACTGATATTAATTTCATAACAATTTTGTCACGAATTCAATTATGCTCGGTTTTTCGTTGTGCAACAAATTCTTAAATTGTTTGCTATCTATTTAGATAATATCAAAATTAGTCGTACACTTTGTTGTTAATAAAAAATAACACAATAATGTTAGCAACAAACTCACCATGTCAACAGCATAATGACGTCACAACACACACACAGCACACATTGAAGCGAAGCGTTACACACAATGACAGAAACTAATCGAGATGTAAACTGGTACGCACAATAATAAAACATGCGCCATTTTCACCTAAATAAATGAAAAATGGTCTTATTCAATTTATATTAGCTGAACCCAAATCAAAAAATTTTGAACATCTCTGTAAATCATTGATGCCTATTAATTCTTCTCTTTCTGTAAGTAGGGAAAGTAGATAAAACCTTATCTGAAAACATCAGTTTAAAGTACGATAGGGCTGATGTACCTGAAGAAGGTAAAAGCTACTAAAAATAAAAAAATAAATAAAAAACTAAAATGTATACACTCTTGTCTGAATGCTCTTATTATAATTTTATAATGTAAATAAATAAATGTATATAAGGCGAAACCTTATGAAATTGAACACTTCTCGAAATCTCAAAATAATCATTGAATTTTTTATTCAAATGTAGATTACATAGTAGGCAAAACGTATTGCTTTTTGCAACAGTTTTATTTAAAAATAAAATAAATTCCTTGTGATTTAGGGAATATTGAATCTATGATTGGGGTTACCAATGTGAAGATGGATTTAAAGCGAACGAGCAAGTCCTCTTTCGGCCCTACTCTTCATTCCTTGTTCACTGTAAACGTGCTAAAAGTATTTTAACAAGCACTCTTAGAACATTCTTGCGTTGCTCAAATATATTGGCGATTATTTACAATTGTATACATTATTCTCGTATCCGTGTGAGGATCTAGGATCGATTCTTGTAAAAACAAACCATTCAAATATTGTGGAATTTAAGGAATCGTTCAATTCAAGTTCCATCCAAAGTTTACATTCGCGTATCACTTGTTTGTTGACTCAAAAGAAATGCTCCCAATTATATTTCTCCATGTAAAAATTTGATATAGGGTATGAATACGAACGGTTTCAACGTCCGAGTAGGTACGTTGCCGTTGCGATTCATTGTGGGAATCAAACCTAGACTTGAAACTTTGAACAACTAGTTCCACTGAGCCCATGTTCTATGCTCTTTGTTCGTCTAAATCCACCTTGACACGAACAAATGAACAACAGAGATTTGACGAAAACTATTTAATGAATAAAAATATTCTAAAATACATACACGAGCACTATTTAATTTGTTGGCGGAGTGGATGCGCTGACAACTGCTGGACGGAAAGCGGCAGCGGCGCGGCGAGCATGCGCGGCTCGCTGCTCCTCCACACACACCACACACGGTGTCGCAGTACAGAACACCCACTCCGAGACATTATATATTAATTTATATCTTCTGAACTATACTCAATATAATTCAAATAGAAAATCTATTATAAATCTCTCATACTATTTATAAATAACAAAGTACTTTCAAGCATAAGACGTGATACTGCGCGCACTTAAATATAAATCTTTTGAGTAACTATCTCGTACTAGTAACTATTTTGTAAATGGCGTATAGGTCTAACAATAATTACTGACATGTTCATAGTTGTTAAAGAATATAATTAAATCAGACTTGTAGTACATTCGCATGTGTAATGCGCCTACTGTAACAGAGCGGACATTTACATAATGTGACAAGTATAGAGCTTGGCAACACGAGGTGATAGACATTGAGCGTATATTCCACACAACAGAAAGACAGTCTCTAGTTTTACACAAACGAGTACAATAATTATATTACACCTACGTATATGGACGGTATCAAAATGGAAGGTGCACACACACACACACACACACGTAAAACTGTCACATTAGCTCACTGCGTCGTAAACGTTACATTAGTGACACAAGCACACACACGCGGCGCGGCGCGAGCCGTCGCACACAGATATGTACACTATTACAAATCCAGTTATTTGGTAATTTTACTCAACTGCTTCGAAAGTAAACGCCTAATACTTTCGGCAGTAGTGTAATACGAATGCGAATGAATAGTGTCGAAATTCGATCCCCACATTTGGACCGATCGTAGTATGAATATAAAATTATCAGTAGCTTTGTACTGAAATAAATTTTAACTTACAACTAATAATATAAACAATTGAGCGATACATTACTTTATTTTCTTCCATAAAACTCTTTTATTTTTAATAATGAAAAAAATAGTTACTTTAAACAAACAATGTTTAAATCTAATACGAGTAAATCAATCGCGGACTGACTGTGTCGGAACCTACTGACTACAGATATGTTTGTATGTACGTACGCGTACAGCAGAACTATGTCGTAATAAATATCTACTTACAATAGCGTACATAAATTATGACTACACATTGAATATTAATGTAAGGCGCGTGTAACAAGCACTTTGGTAAGGCGCTGCACGGTCGCGGGGGAGGCGGCGCGGCGCGGGGCGGCGGTCACGACTTCCGGTGCTCTCGAGTAACGCTAGTCCGCACACTGCCTCCATCCTAAACCCTACAGTTAAGTCCGTTTGCACATTACTCGATAAAAGGCTGATAGACTAGAAAGCTGTTTTAAGTATTAATTCATCATCAGAATGTGTCGTTTTTGTGAATGTATCACTACTTGTTGTCCTTTGCAGGTTGTCGTGAAAGAGGACTAAATACGCAAAGTTCAAAAGAATATGTACCAAACCACGTGACGAGCGTGGATCGTTCCTAGTGCAAGGGTGGTTGGTATTAAGAGACTGTGGTGAAAATAGTCTTCTAGTGTTAATAGACTTAGACAGTCTTGGCTGTACACTAAGAACATTATCAGAGATACAAGAAACATTTGAATAACTGTTAATCGCAATTTGACAATTTAGGCCCCGTTTGTACTTTGTACAAGTACTTTGTTTAATAGTGGTAGTAGCAGTGATAACAGTGGTAGTAGTAGGGGACAGTTAGTAAGTTAGTTTGTCTTCAAATAATTAAAGAAAATTTTAAAGTTGCGTAATGTGCAGACGGTTAACATATCGTTCGGATAATCTCATAGTATGCTGAATGTAATGTGAAGGCGGTGCGGTGCTAGAAATAACGGAACTCGCCCTTTTTACCGAGGCGTTCGCGGCGGACCCAGTCGGCGCCACCACCTCCGCCCCTATCTCTATCCCGGTCCCTGTCCCCGCCCCCGCCCCCGCCGCCGCTTCCCCCACCTCCGCCGTTGCCAGAGCCGGCACCAGCTCTTCCCGTCGCACCTGTAGGACTGCTGCCTCCTGATCCTCGTCCGCCGTTATCCTACAATAGAAAACATTATAGCTTAGTCATTAATCCTCAGTGTTGAATGGACTTTGTATATGGAGTTTCATATAAAAATATCACAAGGTTATTGTCACCTTTTTCAGCTGTTTTAACTTGCAACTAATATTACCACCATGCCACTATATGGCGGTAATATTTTTGAGTATTGTGCAAGAATAGAAAAGAAAGAATTAGAAATGAAGCAATTAAGTCTATAATGTTGTAGGTATTCATGAACTTACGATGTATGTATTGGTTGATTATTCATTTCATATATAAAGTATTTAAATACTAACCTGGTGCGAGTAGTGTGTATAGATCGGGTTGGGGTAGAGATGCGGTGAAGTAGAAGGCAGTTGCGCAGGCGCCACGATCGTGTGCGGCACATGCGCGGTCACGCCGCGACGGTTGCGCGCCTTCCACCATTTGCGGGAGTCGTCCAGCACCTGAAATGCACCATGCACACCGTGCATTGGCATTATTGTGCATTTTAAGTTTTATAATCGTAAAGTAAATCGCGACCTTTTGGTCTGGAGGTGGAGTATCAAAATAAATAATTTAGAAATTGAGGCTTATTAATTAACAGAATAATAAAAGAACAAGTTCAAATTTTTTATAATAGTCCTGTAGATATAAAGTGACGACTTATTATACATTAAAGGGCTCTGAAAATACAACTATTTTTAATTGGATAACATCCTTATTTTTATTTTAATGTCAAGTTCGTGTTTAATCCGATTCCTAAATTTTAGACTGACTGTCAGGGCCAGTAAGCAAAAGTACTTCTTGTTATTGTCAATTTACATGTCATTACAATATCATTTATAAAACATCATCATTCATTGTCAGGGAGATGCGCACCTCGAGGTACTCGCCGCGGACGACGGTGAGCTCCTTGTCGTTGTTGGCGGTGCGCGGGTACGTGACCAGCACCACGCGGCCGCCGCGCGCCGCCACACCCCGCGCCCACGCCTCGCCTAGGTCGTCTGCCATGCATACACAATACACATTTTTAAACAAAGAGATTTTTAGAAAAGAAGGTTACGTTAAAACATATGGTTTATCAAATCGTAATTGCTATTGCAATCCAAAAACCTTCGGGATTTTCGAAAACGGCATTTATTATATAAGACGCAAATTTAGCCTCTCATGCTGCTCTCATCTGTGGACCGGAGCACCTGGATACCAGCATAGTCCTTTTGACTAGTTTTAAAGACGGGTTATGAGAATTGTTAATGGTCCCAATCTCACAGACAGTATTGAGCCCTTAAGTCTAAGGCGAGACTTTGCTACTTTTTGTGTGTTCTACCGCTTGTATAATGGATTGTGTTCTGAGCAATTGTTTGACACAGCATGTCCACAGCCACCTTTTATCATCGCACCGCTCGCCATCGACAGGGAATTTATCCTCACACGCTAGAACCTAAATGGTTACGTACAGTGCCATTTCAAAGAAGTTTTCTCCCGCAAATGTTCAGTCTGTAGAGAGTTTTCAGGGTTGACAACGCGCAGGTTCCCTTAGTGCCACAGGTGTCCATACACTATAGTAACCGTTTACTATCAGATGGACTGAATGCTTGTTTGCTATCTTTGTGGTATAAATAAAAAGACCAGCAGCACGGCCGGCGCGGTAACTCTTACAACAATGTGATTGCACTCACCATCTTCCCGTTCGGCGCGATAAGGTGGTTCGCGATCCGGAGAGGATGCTGCTGAGCCAGAGTCTTCGTGCGCCATCACTCTTGGATTCCTAAAAACATTGGCAGAATATTTCTAAAAATTCTCTTAGAAGCTATTTGGGCCTTTATATGCGAGACTATTTGTCAAGTTTTAGATGTTATGGACAAAGTATCACACGTCGATAGCATTTAGTTATTTTTAGGAGAGGAACCGTGCTTGTTTGGCATTCTAACTTGCATAAAAAAGAGGAAAATTACAGGACATACAGTTAATTAATATGTATGACTTTATGCTGATGACTTGAAGATAGTACCGAGCAACAAGTATATAGGCAACCGGACATATGACAAGGCACAAGCAGCTGTATACACTACCTGGTGTAGGGTGCGTACTGTTCTCCGTACATGTCGGGCTCGTCCCGGTCATATGTGTACGCGCCCCCCGCGCCCCCCGCGCCCTCCGCGCGCTCCGCCCCGCGGTCCGGGGCCGCGGCGGGTCCGCCGCCACCGCCGCCGTCGCTGCGCCGAGGGGACGGCCTGTCGCCACGGACAACACACACGCACACACATGTAGACACATACACAATAATTAGAAGTAACATTGCACACACATGCGACAGCCACTTGATTCACACCATCACATCTCAAGTAGCTCAATCGAACTTCTTGATATCAGGTTTTTTTTAGTATTTCTAAATCTATATAATATGCGTCAAAAGCTTATATAATGAATAATTACAGAAAATAGATACAGACTTTTACAAAGAAGCAAAATAATGTAGAAAAATGAGTATGTACTAAAGTGTCAATAGGCATGGTTGTGAACTGACCGTCTCAGGGGCTGGTCATCCACCTGGTAGTCGGGCGACCAGCCATCCATGAACACGGGCTGGTACGGCGGGATCGTCGTCTTCCATTGTTCCCTGCAATATAAACACCGTTTTTCCTGATTATATATTCTAATGTATCTTCAGCATAATTATGCTGAAGTTTTCAATTAAATGATCCAAATTTTCGAATTAGGGGGGGGGGGTGTCTTCAATTTTTGGTAAATATTGTGTCACCGAATTGAAAAATGAAATCTCTTTCAGGGATGACAAGTTGTTGTATGACCAACCGAATGCTGTATATCTTTTTTACAAGTGCAAAAAAATATATATATAAAAAATTAAAATTTTAACTGTACATTATATTATAAGAATACAGCTTTATGTAGTACCTACCCTAAAGTGGGGGGGGGGAGGAGGATTGTCAGTAATGCTGACTACCAGTTCTATTGCTAGCAATATACCCTGTCAGGTCGACCTTCACGTGGCCCCTCCTGGAAACCATCGTGCTAAATTCCAGGTGAATCAGTTATCATCCCTCACTGGTACCTCAGCAGCGTATACCGTGAGCGCAGGCGGCGTTACCATTCCATTGTCATCCATTAAACAACCCTAAAGAGGGACAGGCGTGATGTATGTATATGTGACATGTATAACTTCAAAAATCTTAAGATATTATTTATTGTTTGAATCCATTATAAGCATGAGATAGAGTCTCTGCATTATTTTATAAAATAACGACTTATAAATGTTACGGAATCAAAAAAATATATATTTTTTTGAAATATATCAAAATTATCTTTCCTCAATTCGATGTAGCGATTATCCAAAACTAAATAGATATGTATTTTTAATTATTCATTGTTATTTTGCTTTTGTTTAATTATAACTTTATCTAATCTTTATAATTTAATTTTATGAATACACTATCGTAAGTATGTACATATTTTATGTATATAGAACCGTATCATACACAATTAGAATGTGTGTTATCGCCGATGTTATTCAAATATTTACATGGTACGCATTTATTTGTTTTATGGCAGTCTACTTTTTACTGATAGGTTAATTCGTTTGGTATTAAAAACAATATAAATTATTTACTATCATCTTGTAGCTATTACTAGTATACTAGAATACTAGGCGCGTAACAAGTATCCTTAGATACTTGTGACGCACACGCGCTCTCAGTCCACAATAATATATATCTGTGTCCAGAATTTTGACTACCACATCTTCTCGAACTGAAATATATCTCATCATCATCATCATATTACCAGTTAACACTGCTAACATAGGCCTTCCCCATAATATGGACAAATATACATAACCTACACCTATATACAGACAAACTTGCAGAAACACGAATAGAAGTGAGCCCATACATATGGCAATATATAAAGTTTTCCTACAGCTACTATAGATGATAGATGCTAATTAGTCAGTGAAGTTCCTTTGTATTCATAATATACTAGTGACCCGACCCGGATTCTCACAGTTTTTTTTAATAAAAAACAGCACACGTTATTCGCTAATAGTATGACTTTATACAGATGAAAGAATTTTTAAAATCGGTTAAGTATTTTTTGAAGTTATCCGTAACAAACAAATCAAATCTTTCTTGTTTATAAAATTAGTTTGGACTAGCGGTAACCCGTAGTTTGACAACCGTCTATCAGGGGGAAACATACTTTATATAACATATAGCTAGGATATACCTCTTTCTCATCGTGTTTCAACCGTGAAGCAGTTGTGTTTGCATGGCTGTGTTTTGGTTTGAAGGGTGGGATATGGCGTCAATTTACTGGGTACAGAGGAATAACACCTGAGTCCTCAGGAATGGCAAACGGGGGGTGTCATGGGCGAAACAGTATACTTTGTTATGTCCATGATACTGCTCATGTCTATAGCGACGGTTATCACTTTCCATCAGGTGGGCCGTCAGTTTGTGTGCCATTCTAAGTTGTATAAAAAAAATATAATATTTGTTTTTAATATAAAATAATATTTAAAACTATTTAAAAAAAATTACTACCAGAAAGATCGCAAGGTCGTACCTGGGTATGAGCCACGCGTCGCCGAGCGAATGCCACAGCTCCGTCTCCTTACTGGTGACGCAGTTGGCGAGCAGATTGAGGGCGTCCCTGGTGAGGAGCGGCTGCACGACGCGCGCCGGCAGCCGGCCGTCCGCCACGTCCTGCGCCGCGTCCACGATCAGCGCCAGTGGCGTGAACAGGAAGTGCACCAGCTCCGGCGCGTTGGGGTCGTGGATATGTGCCCTCAGTCTCGCCAACAAGTTGAACGACAACTTGAATTTCTGCAGTACGTCGACGAAGTCGCGCTCCGGCGGCGGCCGGGTCCGCAGCGCCAGCATGCCTTCACCTGCTCCGGCGGAACGTTTCCCGCCACGGGACCTCCTTCGTCGCTCCAGCTCCCGCGAAGCTGCGGCGGCGTGCTGCAGCCGCGCGATGAACTTCTCTATGTCGTCGAAGCACCGGTTGAGTATGGCGATGTCCTGCTCATAGAGCCGCTCGGAGCCAGTCGACGACGCGTCGTCGCGGTCCAGGCCCGATCCGCGCCCACCAAGCTGCGCTGACATTTGCTACAAAAGCAACGTTTGGTCGAGTTTAAAAATAGGAACGCTCTATTTTTAAATGAAACACGGTTTACTTACATAATTTAGTTACTAACATAAATTGTTTGGGTGTAAAATTAAAATGAGTAGCTTGTTAATGTGTTAAATATGTATCCTCATATCGGATATGAGGTATCACAATCGATAAACTGTTATTCTCGATACATACCAAAAAGATAAAATCGGCACAAATATATATTGATTTATGTGATTAACTGATTATAGTTCACTCATTAGTACTGTTCAACAATATCACGCGACAGGAACAGACGGACAACTTACAAATGGTAGATGCTATTGGCTGTTTTGTATTGTTGTAGTATATTAAATATATTATACAAAATTAATAAGAAAACAAAAATTGAAAGTTGTGTGTAACTTTACTTTCCTTTAGTCAATTATAAGTATTTTCGTATGATCTCAAGACCACTATATTATTATACTCGTAACAATGCGCACCGGACAACTACAATGAGTGGCTCTTGGAGCCGAGCGTGGGTAGTCGGATGTAGACTCACATTGAGCACGGCGTTCCATTGCTGGCGCGTGTACGTGTGGTACAGCCTGAGCACAGGTGGTTTGGCGGACATGGCGCACCGCCTACAGTATCGCTTGCGCCGGACTGAACGCCGGGCTTCGATCTGCCCTATCTGCCCACCATGTTATCACGCTTCTAATCTAAATCTACCTGATTACCTATCTCCCTCGTTACACCTAATTAGCACACAGCTTGCTGTATACCAGATAACTGAAATCTGTCACACAGTTTGATTCAATATATATGCACTTTTGAAAAGCATATGCGTTTGGTTGAGGTTAGCAAGCTACAGAGATCGATTGGTACACGAGTAGCACTGGTGTGCTGGGTAGCGGAGGAATGCGTTTGTTGTTTTATCAGATCAGTACGATAACTCCCGATATGGCGACTTAGTGCTATCTGTTATTGATTTCTAGATGGTACATATTTTAGTGATCACGTCATGTATTTCGCGAACCTTGAGCTAAAAACAAATCTATCCATTATAAAAATACTTTAATCACTATTAGTCGTGTTTCTTATGCTAAATTAAACATCCGGTTCCCATCTATGTATCAGAGAGGAACATTTATTTGTTTATTTCAACTTTGATGCATAATAAAATTCTATGTACCGATATTTGGCGGACTTAACTTCGGACGTTTTCTTTGGTAGAGTCAAGCGTTTGGCAAACCGAGAAATAGGTAGGCGGTGTATTATTGAATAAAGAAAATATAAAGTTAATACTTAATATATCCATATACTATAAACATATATTTAGACTAACATATAATATTTTAAATAAATATATGTATACATACATGAATAAATACATAAAATATACATAAATACTATAAAAAATAATTAAGTGTATTCGAAGAGCAAATAACAATCTATGACTCAAACAGAGTAACCGGCAAGGTTAGGTTTAAAAGAGATTAATATCATCGTAACAATACTGTAATGTCCCACTACTGGGCACAAAATTTCTTACCATAATAGAAGAAAACTATAGAATAATAGAAGATACCATGCTCGCGACGCGGCTCGTTTTCGAATATTTATGTTTATAGTTAAATTTAATAGTTTGATTCATAGGCAGTTATTTTTTATTAAAAACTGAAACAATCCTATATGATTATTAGCAAAATAGTTGGAAAATTGCATATTTTGACATTTTACGAGTATACACTATTTCCTAAATCAGAACAGGCCATGTAACATCCTATAGGTAATGTAATGGTTAACTAAGCTTTAAATTATATTTTGAATGTTTCTAGATGGAAAATATTTATTTTGATTGTTATAATACGAGTATGTGTGCTGTGTGCATTAATGTACGAGTACCTCTTGCTTGGGTACCTCTGTCCCACTCGTGTTTCAATCGTGAAGCAGTTGTGTTTGCATGGCTGTGTTTCGGTTTGAAGGGTGGGATATGGCGTGAATTTTCTGGGTACAGAGGAATAACACCTGAGTCCTCAGAAATAGCAACGCATGGGGGGTATCATGGGCGAAACAGTATACTCTGTTATGTCCATGGTACTACTCATGTCTATAGGCGACAGTTACCACTTTCCAACAGGTGGGCCGCCAGCTTGTATGCCATTCTAAGTTTTATAAAAAAAAAACCTATACATATCTATGATCATAGACTAAAAAGAACCCTAAGTTACTTAGAGATCAGTCCAGCATTACTTGTAGGAGTAGCTACCTCATATTTGTAATTTACAAGTGTAATCCTTAGTAATATAATAAATGTGAACGTTAGTTTGTTTGTTACCTGTTAGCGCCTCAACGGCTTAACCAATTACTATGAAATTTGGTATAAGTACACGTACACGTAGGTAAATACTTTTAATCCTGATTAATGAATATATCCTCGTCATGCGGACGAAGTCGCGGGTAAAAGCTAGTAAAGAACATATAGTAATATCCAAATTATATTATAATTTAATATACATGTGTGGCAAATAGGGTTATCATTCCAATTTCGCCCATTAAAAAATACCTATGTCAATATTAAACTAAAATAGGTAATATTTTGTGGAAGTCCATATCGACGGTTATCTGATTAGATTCGATTGATTATTTTAATTAATTCCATTACGATTATACATCTACATTGCACGCATATTAATTAATAATAGCGCAATTAAATTAAATGACTAATCAGTTTTACGTCACCTTGTTTACCTGCGCTTTTGTATTTGCGTAAAATAATAATAAATGGTCCTTACCTGCCTGCGCGGTCTCTCCATCTCGGTCTCCCTTTCTCTTTCCCTCTCCCTTTCGCGATCTATGATGAAGTCGCGGTTACCATCGTTGGCGACACTGTTGCCGATGCCCCTGCGCACATTACAAACCGGAATTTTAATTTTACGAGTACAACTTGAACATTCAAGGTTTTTTAGTAAATTATTGCTGATTGTTTGTTATCACAATAAGTTTTTGTTTAGTTTATACAATTAGAAGTAATTAATGATTATAAAAAAAATCACAACACAATAAACAGATTTTTTGATTAAGCCAGTCTTAATAAACCCGTTTTCAACTATCCATTTCAGAGCGACAATCACACAAACAGACACATAAAAACAAAACTTCCAACCTCAAGACACTTTTGCACCTGGGGATCGCGTGTTTCACTGTAGTATTATATACGTACTTGCAATATCACGAAATATAAATTTTCGACTAATATTGCGTAAATATGCTTGCACTATGAGTAAAAGTAATATCGGATGAATGTAAGAGCTGCAAATAACTGTAACCTCACCAGGAGTACGCGGATACGGGCAAGTTAAACAACCGATCGATATAGAACATGGACCGGACGAACAGCTATGAAGAGCAAACGAAACCACTGACTAAAGTTTACTCTGCGTGGCAGTGGAGGAGCCAACTCGGCATCCTAATCGCACACTTAACCTCCACGATAAGATTAACTCGTGCTATGTGCAAGATCGATATGTTCTTCTTTATCTAACAAATGTCGGTCAACGTGAATTATTTCGTAATAACATCCATGGACGAGAGCATCTTGATATTCATACATATATTAAATTACTTGTATTTACTTATAAATGAGTCATTTACTATTCCAAGTTAGATATACCTAATAATAATAAATCCACGTTATTTTCGCAGTAACTCAGTGATTTTTAGTGATCAAAATAGTACAATAATAAATTTACATACTGCTGCGAAAAAAAACAATGATGAAATCTGATATGAATCTCACAGAATAAACAAGCTCATTATGTCATTATATAATTTATTATTTTGAGACGAATTTAGAACAAGACTGACAATATTTAAAGAAATATTTATTTATATATTATTGCCATATAGTATGGTATAGAATAGGCCACCCCTTCCTTTCCTGCGGGTGTCGTAAGAGGTGACTAAAGGACGGCGAGGGATAGGCAGCAGCGTCCCTCTTAAAACATTTCCAAAGCCTAACTACAGTTGCCGTGTGTGCTAAAAGCGTGACAGCTACGAGTACTGGCAAAACCCCCCAAAGGGGAGGCGTATATTCAGCAGTGGGCAGTTAAAGGATGATATGATGATAATTTTGTATATTTCCGGTGGCCTGATTGTAAACCATAAAAATGAATGATGAAAGAAAATAAAAAAATGCTGTAATACAAATACCTCGGCCATATCGCCTGGAAGCACTTACTGGAGAAAGTCGAGGGCATTAAGAAAGAAAAAGAAATCCTATGGATAAAACCCAATACCACAGACTAAAAGTCGAAACAAGCTACAACCATGCTAAAAATTACAAGTTATGTAGGTATCATTCAGAAATTGGCCAAAATTATTAAAATATTCAGTAATGAGTTAACAGCAAAAGGAGGATGGAAGGATTCCTTTAACATTTGCATGTCCTTGAATACTTATAATTATGATCTTTTTGTGTATCTGTTGCAACCAGCTCAACTACTGACACAAATACCATAGCTAATGCTACTATGACATAATTTATTAAAGTTCCAATCTCTTGTTATTTTACATTAATTAATTATAGATTAATAATAGAAAAGAATATTAGTAATGAGACATCTTTATCATTATATATTATCTAGGGGGACATAAGATAGGAAAACTAACGAAGTTGAAGGCCGACACCGGTGATATAATTTCCGCCCCATCAGAGATTTTGAGTGAAATTGAGAAGTTCTATGGACAACTGTACACAAGGTCGTTAACACCGCATACCAATCCCAATAATGACAAAAGAGCTAAAGTCACCCGACACTAATACCGGAAATTGAAATGGCTCTTAAACAGTTTAAAAATGGCACAACATCGAAATTACAGTAGAGTTTCAGAGAGTTCAGAAAACCAAAGAACGACACCCATCCCAGTACAGAAAGTTGTAAGACAAGGTGACGTAATATTCCGAATTTCAAGGTAAGTAAAAGTCGGTAAGTCAAATTTCGACCGTGAGGTCAACCAAAGAATTCATCTCGGTTAGGCATCGTTTGAAAAACTACGCCACATCTTCTAATCGAAATATATCCAAAATTGAAGATGAAAGAAGGTCAGTACGAGATGCCAGTTTTTTTTTATTGGATGAAAATAGAATGGTAACCCCGCCTGCGCTAACGGGATACGCTGGCGGGGCACCAGTGAAAGGTGATCGATGAGAATGAAAACAAGCCAGTTAGCCCATCATGATGAATTTATCTGGAATTAATCATGATAGTTTCCAGGGGGAACCGCGAGCAGGTCGACCTGCTTGGGTATATTGCTAGCAATGGGATTCTCAGTCTCCATTACTAACAATCTCTTTCCCCCCTAACGTGATGCCAGTTATGACCTACGGAACCAAAACATGGTCCTACATGTAAATGTATGTAAATGTTTGAAGTTACTCAGCGAGCTGTGGAGAGGGTTAAGCTTGTAGTTTCTTTACGTGACAAAATCTGAAATGAGAATATTCGCAAAAGAACCAAAGTGAACGACATAACTCGAGAGATAAGTAAGCTGGGGCAATGGGCTAGTCACATAGCTCGAAGAACCGATAATCGGTGGAAGAGAAAGTTTCTTGAGTGGCGACCCCATACGGACAAACGCAGTACCACTTAAGTACTGTTATAAAATGCTTACTTGAGTGCATTGAGCTCCTCAACCAGGGTCTGTGCGCCGACGTCGTGGCACTGGAAAATGTGCAGCTCGCGGCGCGGCGCGGCGTCGCCGTGTTGCGAGGCGGCCGGCGCACCCACCACGAACGCCAGCACGTTGTTGTACAGCTCCGCGGGCTCCGGCGACGTGAACGCCGTCGGCGAGTGCACCCACGACGCTGGGAACCGCTCCATTATTGACTGCAACAACAACAGTGGGTTTCTTGTGATTTTTGGATGCTTAGAATGGCAAACAAGTTGACGTCCAACCTAATCGAAAGTGCGTATTTGTCGGTTATAGACATGCACCTGGAACACTTCATACATTACCAATCTTAGCAACTACGGTATTATTTAATATACATCCCAGTAAGATTGATGAGATTATGAGAACATTACCATTCTATACTATTTGTTTGCATTTCATAATATTACAAAATCATATATCTACAAGAATAAATATTTTTGAATATCCTGAATATTTAGTGCTGATTTCTAAATACAATATATTGTATTTAATATTATTTGAAGAATAAACAATATATGTTATTGCCTGCTACATAAAATAATTAAACAAAGAACATACTATAATTAAATTGAACATACCCCAGTCTCGTAATCCATGACTAGCACCCACTGGCCGTCCAGACACAGCTGCATTTTTTGACTCCATATTCCTGAAACATGAAATTATTTCATTAGAGTACATAACATTCACCTGCTGTTTTTATTTGGATGTTTTTAACAGAATATTTTTGTGTATAACTTGAAAATTTCGTGTGGCAAATAATTAGATAGATAGATGCCCTTTATTATTTCTTCCAAAAGATTACAATAGTAAAATTATTATACCATACATACAAACAATTTCAAAAAATGATCACACTGAGAAAACAATGGGCGGCTTTATTACTAAAAGCAATAGACTTAGTATACCATACTACGTACTATCTAAGGCTAAAACGATCTCTTCCAGGCAACCTTTAGATCGAGAGGAGTCAGTTTGATCGGAGGCACGATGAGAATTCTGTTATTTTTAAATACATATGGTATACTCATAGTAGACGGTATACTTGATAACAAGTAAGTGATGTCTCCTATGAACATGAATACCTTATATTATGGTTATACTCGCAAATGTGACGCCCCTGTTACCACTCATTCGCTGATATTCGTGAGGGCAAAGATGATGATGGAAACACAAAAACATTCCATATAATAACGCCCGTATAGGATGTTAATGTTCATGTTCGGCATACTGACCGTTAGTTTTCTCCAGCTGGAGAAGCCTCCGCATGCCGTCCGCAGGGTACACTATCCCCGTTTCCCTGGTGACGGTGAAGGTGGCGAGATGTTCCAGCACGTACGCGGTCCTTTCGCCATCGGCGCGGTCTCCTCCGCCGCCGGGACCCCCGCGAAGGCCTGCTATCTCCTCGAACTCGTCCAGCGCGCGCTGGGCGCTGCGCGAGGTTCCACTGCCCGCGCTCCGCAGCGCCATCTTGCTTCTTTTAATATCACGCGCCAACACCCATCACAGTGGGTTCTCTCTTTTGGGTTTATCCCGTTATCTGGAATAGGAAAATGACACGTTCAATTGTTTATAAATATTAACTACCTTCAGGGTACTCAGAATAACCAGCAAAAACTGTAGAATAATAAATTTAACAAATTCTGTTTAGAAAATGTTTGACTCATTGATGTAATATTTCGAAGTAGTCCGAGACATTATAAAATCCACCCAATCAATTTTAGTTTCCATCCGTCTATACTGCCAGTCACCTGGCCAGCATGGTTATATTAGTATAATATGATTATCATACTTTTATTGAGACTCGTATCCAGCAATGAGACATTGTGTACATTATTTGTTAGGACACTGATGACGATACACGCTAGACAGATGGATGTGAACACTTCGCTTCGTAACTGTAGGTGTACAGTTACGAAAACTAGGAGTGTTTGTTACCTAACGAAGTACATGTTTAAAGCTAACGAAATATTTAGAGAAATAAACCCGAGTATTAGCGCTCATTCAGAGCCATTAGCGCCTACTTAAGAGAAACGTAGGTGAGTAGTACCGGACGCGGCGGTGAGCGGCGGAGAAACTGCGTGCGTGCCGCGCATAGCGACCAGCTGCTCAGCTGGTCGCTATGATGATGACGGAGCCATGGGATTTATTAGACACGTGGCCAACGAAACCGTGGCATTTCGTACATTATAAAGGAAGTGGTGTACTCTCGCTTTAGATTTGTTAAATACCAGTCATATCAAATACTATTACTTTCTTTTTCTGTCATATTTTCATGTATATATTATTTTTATTACTATATCAATAACAATAATAGTTTATTTGCTCAAATATGGGTTTTATAGATGATAAATTTTTTTTTATGGGTGAAAATGGCATGGTAGCCCCGTCTGCGCTATCGGTATACACTGGCGGGGTACCAGTGAGGGATAATAGGTGAGGATGAAAAGGCAGGTCACTTAGCCTATCATGACGAATTCAACGATAAATTTGTCACGATAGTTTCCAGGGTAAACCGCGTGGAGGTCGACCTGATGACATTGATAGCAACGGGGACTAACCTCCTCATTACTAACAATCCCTTCCCCCAGATGGTACATTAAAATGTACCATAAATAGTACGCCTCTATATTTTACGTACACGGCATGCAAATCTACTTTTAATATCAATACTGGTAAAATTCCATTATAGAAGATAGAAAATAGAAAAATAAAATAATTCTTATATCAAAATTGGTCTTGTCTATTTTCTCATGGGAATACAGTGCAGTAATTTATTGTTTGTTTAAATTTTAAAACCATCTGTCATATAGTAATTTTAGTCATTCATTATATTCTTTATTTATTATTACTAAAATACATTTATAAATACTGTTTAATCAGAAGTATCAAGACATACTTCGTTGCGCGTGCTAGGCTTTATATTCGGGTTGTCATCACTACGTCTGGGCATCCCAAAACTACGTTAATTATTTGGTCATATAGATAAAAAATCCAATTAAAGTTTATAATTAAAAAAAAATCAAATTGAATTTTGCGTTACAGTTTTAATGAGCAATATTTGAAAGAGCATTTTGTCAAAGCGTAATTGAATGCGTATGTATATTTATGTAAAGGCAATTTCATCAAGCCTCTTGACTGTGCCAGCCGTGAGTTACGTTGTCGCTGATTGTCCCACAGTAGGCAGTCCATGCGGTGCGGGTGTCTACCAGCACGGGTACTGGCACTAAGAGCATGCACTCGTGTTGTGGCAGCGCTTGTTAATGTATCGACGACATACCGGCGGAGGCTCGAGAGCCACCTGACAAACCACTTTCGTATCTTCCAACTGTGGAACAGGTTTGTTGGGATTACATTAATCTGACCTACCTCGCGGCCTCCTCGCCGCGTGAATACAAACGTGGAATTGATATGAAATGTTCTCTCCAATATACCATTGAACTATACATAATATAACACTTGGAAATACCATTTCTTCCTAATATTGCAAATGTGATAATGCGATTATTTCTTTTCGCCTCTTGCTGCCAACCATAGTAGTGTATAGCATCAGAGAAATGGATTGTTAATAATGCAAATGCAAGTCCCCCATTATTATACATAGACCGGTCGACCTCCACGCGGTCTCTTTAAACCATCGTGGTTGATTGTCAATGAATTCGCTATTATGAAGAAACTGATAAAAAAACTGACTTCAATTGAGGTAAAACCAATTATTTTGTTTTAAAAACTAAACTATTTTTAAACTAAATTAAAAACTAAACTAGATTTTGATAATATTTCTATGGGATCTGTTAGTATATCCTTTCGGAGGCTACTTTTAATCACAGTTAAGCGGCTACAATTACAGCTATAGCTAGTCATTAATAAATCTGAAAAAAAAAATTAAAATTTAATGTCCTGTGTGAGGGGGAAATGGATTAGCAATGGAGTTTCATAACCTCATTGCTAGAAATATACCCTGTCAGGTCGACCTCCACGTGGTTCCCCCTGGAAACCATCGTGAACAATTCTTGTTGAATTCGTCACGATGGGCTAACTGACCTACTTCATCTTTGACCTATCATCCTTCACTGGTATCTCGGCGGTGTATACCGATAGCGCGGGTGGGGTTACTATTTTATTATCACCCATAAAAATATATATATATCCCGTATGATTATGACGTGGGATAGTACACGTCGCAAATGTTGAAGTATGTGGTGCTACGTGCTAGTTCTCCCACGGCCCGCGCGCCGCCTCGCCGCCTCGCCGCCTCACCGCCCGCTACCAAACAAACCCACTATAATAGGACGCCATTGTGTAAAGTGTGAGTCACCGGCACCATCGTACCGATGTACACACCAACTGCCGCCTCGCCTTATCACGACCTATTATACTATCGCGCGAGGCACCGCACCGGGCCGCTGTGAATACTCCTAGGACTTAGCTACCTACGCGGCATTCGTATCTAGCTACAAGGATGTACGGCGCGATAACGAGCGAATTAAATTAATACTTACGCATAAAATATACAATAAGAGATAATAAAAGACATGTTTCTTATGAAGGATTTAGATTAGGATTATTATTTATTTGAAAATAAAAACCTAGAACAAATAGACCTTAGTGTTTATAAAATTTGTTTAAAACTATTACAGGAATAATTAAAGCAATAATCTCGTCCGTTCTTCTTAACTTACGTTTAATAGCGGTGGATTTGTAAAAAATCGAAGCGAAGTTTTTTGTACTAATTGATATTTTCTTCAATATTGTAGAACATACTTTTGTTCTATCACCAATAGTTTCCGCAGCGCACGCGACCAAAGATATTTTAACATTTTTCTTTTACATCTTAAGTTACATTACTAAAGCTTTAGTAAGGATCCCTAATCTTTTCTAGTATTAAATATAGTCTATGTTACTTATGTAGCTTTCTAATGGTGAAAGAATTTTTGAAATCGGCAAAGTAGTTTTTGAGTTTATTCATTACAAACATACACACAAAAATACAAATCTTTCTTCTTTATAATACTCGTATTAGTGTAGATTACTATGTTTTCCAAACAATATTCAAAGATTGTTGGGAAATAATAAAATTAATTTAAAAACAACTGTTTTGTACAGTAGTCGTGTACCGGCGAGCTCGTTTCCTATGTTGTTAGCGCATAAGAGAGCGGTGCGCGCGTCCCTGCAGTACGTGCGCGAGTCACGTGGCACAGCGCGCTCCTGTGAACGACATCAACGCGAACAGTCGGAACTTTGTTCAGGGGAACGTAATAACATAAAGGCAACACTATTGTGCACTTCTTATACTACGCACTGTAGTGGACCCTGTCCCTGTGGCTACATACCGAATTAGTACAGAGCACAGTTTACCTGTAGCTGCAGCAAACAATCGACACTTTTTTGTGATATTTGAGAATGTTTGGAGTTCTTATTTGCTGAGAAGATTTCGTAGGAAGCTATTATATCTTTTTATATCAATTTAAATTAAATAATTTCATATTCATTTTAATACAATTTCACTATTATTTTAAAGTAATGTTTTATAATTGCTTCGAAATAGAAATGCTGTTATGTTTTTTTTTATTAAATAAAAACATCCTTTAATAAATAAGTACCACGTTAATTTTTCTTCAAAAAAATTGTAAACTCCATTAAAAATAATTTATACTTAATTTCAGTTGTTTCTATTTGCGTATTACGAGTGTGTATGTAATAGATAATTGTTATGTGATTGTTGCAATGTAAGTAAGAAATATGAACACGACAGTGTGAACTGAAGCGCGGAGGCGAGGCATGCCGTGCAGCTTATGGATGCTCTGTATGATCGCAACTAGCATTGTACTCGTATGCAGCACGGGAGTCGGGCCGCGGGCCGCCGAGCCCACGCGCGCCGCCCGCCATCGCCTGACTCATGGCTCAATGCCATTATTTATATTATCAATGTATAAGATCTAATATACAATATATTGCCATGTGGTCCCGCCATGGAACGGGCCACCCCTTCCTTTCCCGTGAGTGTAGTAAGGGGCGATTAAGGGAACTAAACGGTTGAGAGATGGGCAGCAGCGCAGCGTCTCTTTCAAGATATGACCAAAGTCTAACTGCGGTTTCCTTTCCACCTGCCAAGTGTGGCAGCTACTGACAAAACCTCCCAACAGGAAAAGGCCTCATGTCCAGCAGTGGACAGTTAACGGCTGAAATAATATGACGAATGTATATTAGATATCATAAGTAAATACCACTGGTTATATTACATAGCACCATCGAGACCAAATTAAACAAAACTTGTGGTATGGACTCTGCCATGGACACTAGACCACACTATGTAGTAGTTTTTTCTTTTTAATTGGTGATAGTGAAATGGTAACCCCACCCGCGCTATCAGTATACACGGGCGGGGCACCAGTGAAAATGATAGGTGAGAATAAAGCAGGTCAGTTAGCCCATCGTGACGAATTCAACAAGAATTATTCACAATGGTTTCTAGGGGGTATCACGTGAAGGTCGACCTAATAGGGCATATTGCTAGCAATAGGACTGTCAAGTCCCCCC